GTGTGTGTGTGTGTGTGTGTGTGTAATTTTTTTTATAGAGCTCTGGTTTTACTTTGAGCGCTACTTGGATTCCGAGCTTTTATTGTGAAAGTTAAAAACCGGAAGTTTATTTTCTGCCCTGTGAGCATACACGCTGACGCCGGGGAGCTGAGCAAACCAAAAACTTGATCACACACCTGGAACATTTTACAGAGCAAGAGGTAAATGTTGAAATACGTTATCTTCTTCGTAGTGTAAAATAAGTAGGTCCTATTTTTTATTTTATTTCTTTACAAAGCGACCTGCTTTCCCAATCTTTGAAACCATTTAAACAATATATTTTTAAAGTGTGAAATCAGTAACGATCGTTTTGGGGACTAAATAACTGCTGTTTTCATTGTTTTGAGGCAATCCCAAGTTTGACCGTTAAATTTCCACATCGACTCCCAAACGTTGGAGGCAGTTTAACAGCAACGTTCATACTTTGCTGCACATCATTTAACTTATGTCTTAAAAAAGGAAAAAATGTTGATATACTTTTTAAATATTTTTCTGTAGTGATTAGAATTCATTGGCAACATCATGGCATATGAAAGTTGTGAAAGCAAAAGTAACATTATTATTATAAAGTGAGGTAACTTGCAATCGAATAACAGCTTTTCTATCTGTGAGGTATTTTCTACATTTTTCTTTATCTGATGCTCAGCTCCTCTACCAGAGGCCTGGGAGCTTCAGGGTTCCTCTCAGTATCTTAGCTGACCCTAGAACTGCACACTTCTGGACTCTGATATTTCTCCATTTATATGTTGGAGCCATTTCGCCAGTGAGGGGGTTACTGTCCCTGGTGCTCCAATGACCATGGGCACTACAATAACCTTCACCTTCCAGGCTCTCTCCAGTTCTTCCTAAAGGCCTTGGTATTTTTGCCATTTCTCATGTTTTTTTCCTCCTGATGTTTCAATCATCTTTGATGAAAACATTGATCACTGTCTTTTGCTGCTCGAAATATCTGATTGGTTGGTCACAACCATTTAGTCTGCGTGTACCTGGAAGTCCCACAGGATCCTAGCTCTGTCATTCTCCCCCACCTTGGGAGGTGACTCCTATTTTAACCTGGGTGTATCAAGTTTGTATTCTACACAGATGTTTACTTACACTCTTCTGCCAGTATCTTCCATCCTGATGTGAGATGCTGGATTGTTTCTGGGGCCTCATTGCAAAGCCTGCACCTGGGATCTTGCCTTGTATGGTAGACCTGGTCTTCTATAGGGCTTTGGGGTCATGACTTAATTACTTTGCGTGGCCGTCATGTTGATGGCCTCCTTTACCGCTGCTCAGACTACTGCCTACGACTACCGCGTACTGTACTCCCTCCCCGTGTTTTAATTTGATTAATTTCACCTTAACTTGATTTCAACCAAGGTAAACCGTTGCTGTACTGTGGGCTGTAACAGCGCAACACATGATCGCCATGGGAATAACATAGAAAATGGGTTAACTTTCCACCGCTTTCCTGCCTGGAGGCGCAACCACGGAGACCAAGTGTCAGAGATAAAGAGTCGTCGGCTAGCTTGGATCGTGGCTGTAAGACGACCGAACATATGTGTTCCCTGCATTTTCATTCTGGTAAGTTAAAGATGCACGGTTTTATTTTATAGCCTACATTGTTTCTTTCCTTCAAGGTTGGGATCTTTTACGGGAAAATAATAAAAACGGCAGCGGGAAAAGGCTCAAATACATAGCAGCTAGTTAAAAGTACATTACATGCGTGAGTGGTTGTTAGCACTAGCGGTTAGCAATTACTAAAGTAGCAGGTTCCAGAGCCCGTCTGAGCACAGCTTACCTTCGTACGGATTACTGTGTTCCCAGTGTTTGCTGGCTTTATGATCTGCAGCTCCTGAACCCATCCATTCATGAACTGCACATGAGACTCCAAGGACTTGTAGCTTCTGAACTGTTTTGAAGTATAGGCGCTCACTCATCGGTGCTCCACTCATTGTTTGGAACTTCACATAGATCCAAATTATTAATAATGCTGAATTTGTCAACATACCGGCCCCTGGTTTCTCTATTTAATGTGTCCCGGTAAATTCCAGATCCTTTTCGGGATTTTAACATCTTTTTTCTCTCTACTTCTACGTCTCTTCTTTCAACAACAACGTTGTATCAGAGCTATGTTTACATTCGCGTAGCCCTCAACATGGCCGCCACATCCCACAATGCGGATCCCAAGCCCTATTGCTCTGGTGCTTTAGTCTCCTGTGTTTCCATGAGCAGTGTGTCTGTACTGTATTACAATACTGTTAAGCATATAGAAAATTAACTTTACTTTTTTGTACTTTTTGCAATTGCATTAACCATGTGCATCATATGGTAGAATAGTTTTAAACAGATTTGAAGTCAGTGGTTTACGTGACCTAAAGCTGGTAGTGAAAAACAGTATTTTTTACTTTAAAAATTCCTAAAAAAATATGAAAAGGCTTAAATTGGAAAAAAAAAAAAGGAGTATGCCTCATATTTCCAATGTAGTAGAACCATTTCTCACAGATTTTGATTCAGTGGTTTACATAACATAGAATCTATTGACGAAAAAATTTTAAAATCTAAATTTGAACAAAAATGTCTTTCAAAATATGAAAAAGACTTACATTAAAATGAGTGTGCCTCATTTATGTAATCTAGTAGCAGGATTTACCTTTGGATTTGTTTCAATTGGTCATAAGACAAAGAATGTATTTATGCAGGTGGTTTGGGGAGGGGGACCTTCCCTCAAAAAAAGAAAAAAAAAAAAACATAGATCCAGGGAATTTAACCCCAGTAACATCACATTTTTGTTGTTTATCATAGTAACTTGCATAAACGATTAGCCAGCAAACGAGCCACCCCAATTACAGATGAAATCTGACCATCTTAGACTTTTACCTAACCGGATGTGATCCAGATTGATTCCTTGTAGAATTCAAACTTATACGTATAGATCTGGAAAGCCTCTTCCCATTCACAAAGGCAAAAATTGTGTCCTTTTGCTTGTTTTCATAAAGAAATAGAGGGAATCCCAGCTGAAACCAACGCAGCCATGTTTGTTTTTCTTCAGCCTTCCGCCCCTGGTTGACGCATTGATGTCATACATGTGATTGCATCTTGTTGGTTCAAAACATTACTGTATCAAGGCTAATTCATCCTCATTGCTCCTGATGTATTTTCGGAAGTCTGTGAATCCACAAATCTCATGACAATTTACCTTGTTAGCAAGGTAAACGTTTAAAAAGTATTTACTATTTTCCCATACTTTTGACACAGTCACTAGTGCCAGTGGTTGCACTTGAAAAAGATGAAAAGAGACAGTAGGTTTTTGTTTTCTTTACTGTTCATCATACTATAAATAGCCCCAAATCTCATAATATCTGTTAGGAATATGCATTAATCCATTACTTCTATCCTAAAGTAGATAGATTTTTGTTATCGCTTTCCATGAAATCCGTCTGCTCCACCTAACCCGACTGAGTTAAAAGGGAATGACACATAACAATGGGGATTTGCAAAACACAGCACAGTGACATTGTGTTGTTCATTATGATACAACACTAGCAGAAAACTGACCCACTATACCGGCTCTGATAATAGACAATTGTATTCAAACACATCTCACTAACTTTACCTGCCAGTGTTAAAATTCTACAGTAAATATTAAATCTGATGTTATGAAAAACACAAACACGAGCTTAATCTACATAACTTGGTAGCCTTTGCAGGGTTTTAATGTGGAAAAATCTAATTAGAAGAAGAGAAGAAATAAACATTTTAAATATTTGCATTTATTTAGTTTTATTTGTAGAAGTAATCTTTAAAGGGGTATTTCATAGAAAAACAGATCTTTGCAAATATCAGGAATTGAGCCTTTTTTTCATGAGGTCTTTCACAACAACAGAATTAAGTGCATACTCAGGCTGACTGGAAAAGGATGAAATCATCTTTTTTAGTAAAATATGAACTTACATTAATTTTAAAAAATCTATTTTATCAATGTTATACTTATCTTTTATTTGATTAAATGTAGGAAATATTTCTTCAATAAATGAATATTGAAAACAGCATCTCCCTTTAAGATTTTGATACCCTTTTTTGTCCTATGAGGCGCACATGTGACGTGTGTATGCACGTTCATGTGGACGTAGCATTAGTAATTTGCCATGGTGCTTTTACCATTGATTTGTGGCCTCTTATAAAATGTTAGGTGAGTGCTTCAGCGAAAGGGGCAACTCTCACCTGGTTGTTGGAAGTGCCCTTTTTTGATGGAATCAGGAAGGTAGAGATGAAAGCAAGGTGGCTTATGTTATTACCCTTCCATTATTGATGTCAACACAGAAGGACCAGAAATGCACTGCTGTGGAGAGCAAGCTCTGGGCTTTTCTAGTTTGCACAGAAAGCTTAAACAAAACAAAAAAACAAGCCATGTTCACACTCTAGGTTTTTGTTGGCTGTAATTGAAACCCAACATGCACATTTCAAAAAATTCTATTTCAGAAAGTCTGATTTTTTAGTGATGACTCCTTTTAACCATAGAATTGCCATAGAAATGCTGAGTTAATTTTCACTGTCAAAGGTCCCATATCATGCAATATTCACTTTATAAGAAATTGTAACAGTCATATTTCTCCTAAAGCCTGTGTATGAGGCTCGCAAATTTGTTTATACACTATTACACATTAACACCCCCCACCTCCCACCCCAACTTGAGCCCGCCCCGCTTTCTTTCTGCACACAACAACCGACATCCAAACAGACATGCCTTTATCTGCGAAAACTTCTGCGGTTTGATCACAATTTTCTAGCTGTTATCTTTAAAATAAGCTTTTTTCATTCTCAATACCATTATGTTCTAAAATTCAACAGCTCAACAAGGAAGAGTAGGCCAACATTTGTCTGTTGAAAAGACTCACAGGCCATTTAAAAAAATACTTGCTGGTAGTTGGTGCTGCTGAAATTTGAAAGTGGTTATTGGGTTTATTGGCCATTTAGGTTTCCTCACAGTGCAGCATTGGTTTGGACTGTATTTCCCTTAATAAATGAAGCTGTTATTGGACTGCTGCTCGTATGCACCCAGACTACTTCCTCTGGGATTAAAATGCTTGATATGATACATTAAGCTGCTTGAATGTAAGAAATCTTAAAGTGGTTAAACTTTCTCAAAGCTATTAATTTATATTGAGTGTAAAACAGTGGGCAGCATAGACCCGAGTGATGTACTAATCCCAACTAAATTAATAATTAACATTGCCAAAAATAAAGAGTAGAGGATATAGAAAATGTCCCTACAATGTTCTTAATACAATGATGATTAGTCATTGCACTTTATTTTACTTTTAGTTTTTTATTAGTGGCATCAATGAATTGTTGAAATATAAATTTTAATTATTATTTTACATATTAAATGGCTTGGATACACCCACTAGCCACTTTTTTTTAGGTATCCTTTTCTAGTACCTGGTTGGACCCTCTTTGACCTTCAGAACTGACCTAATGGTTGTGGCATAGATTCAACAAAGTATTGGTCCCCAGAGTCTTTGGTCCATATTTACATGATAGCATCACACAGACGCTGCAGACTTGTCAGCTGCACATGCATGATGGCAATCTCCCATTCCACCACATACCAAAGTTGCTCTATTGGGTTGAGATATGAGCTGCGTCTCAATTTGCAGGCTGCGTACTTCGGAGGACCCAGCCTACCCAGCCTCCAGAGGACACAGCCTGCGAACTGAGACTCAGCCATGGTGACCATGGAGGTCATCTGACCACAGGGAACTTATGTGCATAGACCAGTCTGAGTTGATATTCATGCTTTATGGCATGCCGTGTTATCCTGCTGGAAGTAGCCATCAGATGGTGGGTCCAATAGAGGTGGCTGTGCATAAAATCCTTGAATTTTATAGGGAGGCGGCTCCATTCTGGGTGTCTGAGCAACACTCTTTGACCTTGATTGCTCCCTGGGCGCCCCACAATTGCAGCTCACTGCACCCCAAGGGGATGGGTTAAAAGCAGAGATACTTTTCTCCAATGTGAAATCAATGAAGTTTAATTATTATTATGTTATCAGCACTTCCTGAAATATTACTGCCAGCCTGTCCGGCACCAACAAACATGCCAAGTTCATAGTCACTTAAATTTAACCTGGCATAAGCCAGATTAATATGTTTTAGTCCAATTGGAATTCTATACAGTGTTGTGTAGAAGTGTTGCACTAGGAAGGGATAGATATACCCAATCTGCAAGCTGATTTTCCTATTTAGCCAATCGCTGCAGCAGTAGCAGCTGTCATATTCTTGATTTGTTTCCCAACTAGTGGAGTTTACTGATAAATCAAACTCTTACCACATCTGGTCAGGAGGAACGAACAAACATCTTTCCCATCCATTAAGACACAAATCACCTGCCTTTGCTCTTTTATTGAAAAGAAAACAGAGGGTAATCTAGCTAACACCAGCACAGAAATGTTTGCTTTAACTCAGCCTGCAGCTTCTGGTTGTCAGAGACGTCACTGCATTACATTGGTTCCAAACATTTCTTTATTGAAGGCTTATGCATCTATTGGCTTCTGGCAGGATATATTTTTGGAAATTTGTGAATTTTACCAATCTCGTGAGAATTCATCTTGTTTGCAAGGTAAACTTAAATCACTTTACTTCCCCTCTCTGATGCTCTGAACACCAGCAGATCTTGTTGATTATATCTACATGCCTAAATGCGATGAGTTGCTGCAATGTGATTGGCTTACTAGAAATTGGTGGTTACAAGCAGTTGGGCAGGTGTAATAAGGTGGTCCATGAGTGTATCAGCTTGATTATACTTTGTTTCAAGCAGAAATTGTATGGCAGTTGCAATGTTTGCTGTAGTGTTACATTCAACCAGTGAAACCTTAATTTACCACCTGCAACATTTTAATGTTGCTTTGGATTATTTGCATTGAAGTTGTTTGTTACGTTTTGAGTAAAGGATCTTTTTAATTCACCCATCTCAGAAGAAATAGCCTACTTAAAGCAACAACAAAAAAAGATGTTTCCCTCTTCAAATCTTCATCTGTGAATACATCTACTTTAAAAGTGAAGGGTCCTGAAACGGTTAACCAAACAAACTTAATTCACAAGATTGTGTGTTACTACAGAATTATTGATAATATTAAGACACAATTTCATGAATTAAGTTAGTTTGGGTAACTGTTTCCTTCTACTTGAATTTTTAATTACATGGCACCAGCCATTGCAGTAATTATGATCTTTTTCAACACAAAGTTTAAAACATCTGAGACCCGCTGACGCCAGTATGGAAGTATCAAGAAAAAGGATCCTACTGAGGCACCTGGAGCCGGCGAGGCCCCTGCGTCGCTGTGTCCCTGCCAGTGTTGGTGAGTTTAAAGCTGTCAGCTAACAAACCAGAGTTTTCATTTTTTTTAAGTTAAGTTTGGGTTGTGTCCTTTTATTTATAGGTCCTCAAACAAAGGCTGCGGCAGGTGACCAGCCCCTGATGGAGGGGGAACTGGTGAGGCATTCATCGATTAATGAATAGCTAATGAATCAGGATGTTTAACCAATGAAATATTTAGTTTCAAATGTATTTTCAGGTGTTTTTTTTTTGCTGTTTTTTTGTCACTTATGGTACCTGTACTATAGTTGACTTGAAATGAGAAATTCCCATTAAAGACGTTGATTAGTCATTAAGCTGATTCAGACACCAAGACATTCCACTGAGATTTCCTAACCTTTGCACTTGACAGACTACTGTTGGTTTAGAGCAGTTCCTCAAGATTCTCAACCTCCATAAACAGAAGAAAGGTAAGAAACAGAGCAATACAAACGATGTACAGTAACTAGAAATGCATGTCAGCTTCTCTCACTTATCTGTAACACTTATTTGTTTGAAAGGGCAGATACCTGTATACTAGCTGCTGTTTCCATTTTCTCTGCAGAGAGAATATCTTATACAAGGGACTTTTTGATTGCTTTGGCCGGCTGCCCTGACGCCAAGAAGAGGCCAGAATACCTCCCAGACCACCCCATTGTGTTACCCAAGGCAGTAAGTTGTTGATTTCAGTTTAAAGTTTGATGCTTGTTCATCGGTGGGTCACAGATTTTAGCTCTTTTGTTACGATCTTAACAGAGGGATCCAGGGCAACAAGAGCTGAGGGAAACGCAGTGGAAAGAAGTAACAGAGGACGTATGAGTAAGTAGCTTAGAAAATTGTTAGGAAGAGCACAACAGCTGGGATGGTGATCCAATACCACTTTACAAGGTTGTTAACTGAAACATGCAGAAGATTTAATATATGTTAAACATTTTGGCATTGGCACTGTTGCCATGGCAACTGGTGTACTTTTGTATCCAGGACCTCTTTCTCTAAAACAATAGGCGTTTAATAGGCGTTCCCTCTAGGGCGCTGGTACTGCGTTGTGCATATGTATTTTCTTTTTTAAGTGGAGAGGATGGGTCTTTTCAAAAATTTCCAAAAATCCTCCACTATACTTTTAATGCATTTTTAGAGCATTGTTAATTTGAATCTAATGAAGAAAAAGAGTCTAAACCAGAAAGTTGGCTAGTTGTTTATTTAAACGTTAAGCTAAAGCCCTATTTAGAATTGTGTAATGCTTTCAAAGTTAGCTAACCCTTCATGTTAACATTTACCTTACAAGCTTCAAGTTAATTAGCATTGCAGAAGATTTTTTTGTTCTTATCAACTACGGAAAAGGCGCTATTTGCTTTCATCTTTATTGGCAGAAAGATAACTGCTCTACTACCTCTTTATGATGAGCTTCATCACACTCTAGACTCTGAAAGTGCTCAGAGAATTCAAGTTATTTTCTGTCATCATAAAAAAACAAAAGCCTATTGGCATTTTTATGGATAGAAAGGATTCACCTTCTGCGTTTGGCTCAGATGCTATGTGGAACCAATTGCCAGCTTGATAATCTTCATATTGATATGCAATGCAATGATAACTAATGTTTCAAATTTGTCTTTTGTTAGGGTGGCAGAAAGGCTTTCCAAGTCTTCAGAAACTTGTTTTCCACAAATGGGATTTGCACTGTAGTTTGTTGCTTTACTTTAATTTATTTTAACCCATAACACTATTTGAATGTGTGCTTTGCATGTTACTTTGAGCTTTGTTTTTGCTGTGATTTTTTTCTCCATATTGTGTGTTTAAAATATGCTCTAAACAGCAAGCCAAAAGTGCCTTTTTTTTCTGACCTAATGTGTGACCTAAGTGTGACTTTTTAACTTAGTGTAAATCAAGCAGTAAATCCTGTTTATATTAATTCACTGCCTATGTCTCTGTTGGATGCATGCAAAAGATGTCATGGCAATAAACAAAAAAAACCCCAAAAAATCACCATAAATGTGCAGCAGCTTGTGTTTTTCATGTCTTGCTTTCGTAAAGAACAGAAGTGTCAGTTTTCATTATATGTGCATGTTTACCATTTTGTGTGCATGAAAGCTTTTCCTATTAGCTTTTGAAGTTTTAATGGTCTCTGATAGTTCTCTGATCATTGTTTGGTCTCTAATATTGGCTCTGGAGCAAGTCTGTTAAATCACTTACCTTTCAAGGATAGCGTTTAATGAAGGATAGCGTTTAATTTTAGTCGTCATTACCAATTCTCGTCGGAATACACTGGAAACTGTGATTACAGGATGTTTATTCAGCTGTTTCCTTTTAGCGTGAGAAAAATAAACTTTTATGCTAAAAAAAAATCTAGTGGTAAAAGGTTAAACTATCTTGCCTTGCTAACATACTCTCATATCTTTACATCCACTGTATCTACTGTATACTTATTATACTTTTTTCTCCATCTTAGGATTTTTGTTCAATTTCTAAATTTTTTGTTTATAAAAGTTACATTTTATTTTGAGCCTATATGATAAAGAACTTTGTAAAAAACAAAAAAACAAATATGCTGCTGGTTTAAAAAGAAAAACTGAAGAAAAGTTAAAGAGATATAAAACAGATTTGTAAATAGAGAAAGCAGCCTTATAAGATATTCAAACCCACAGAATTTTTTACACATCGGTTTTGTCTGACATCTCCAAACTTGGCTTGCTATATTTGTTTTTCTGTGATAAACCAGCCCCCAGGATCCTTCAGTTTATATTATAGCTGCAGTTGCAGCTGAATGTCCTTTTATGAAGCCAGACGAGGGGCAAACGAACATCCCAGAAACTTCCAGTGTCATCACAAGGTTGGTGTCTGGTAGTTTTTGCCACAATAACTTTTCAGATTGAGTTTAAAGATTCCGGTTGTTTTATCTGAAGAATATCTTTAGGCTATGTATGTATATATATGTTTTTAAATATAAAGCTTGCATCACAATTATTAAATTTGACTATTTTGCTTTAATCTATGTAATATATATATATATATATAATTTTTTTTTTAATATAAAGCTTGCATCACAATTATTAAATTTGACTATTTTGCTTTAATCTATGTATATTTATAATAACAAATAAATACATTTTGTTTTACTGCTCATAACAGAATTAAATTTCAGCAGTTATAGGGCAGAGGTGGGTATACACTACTTACATTAACTCAGTTACACTTACTTTGAGTAACAGCGACAAACATTTTAGTAGTTTTATTTCACTTTTACTTTAGTAATATCTTCGTAAAATATCACTACTCTTATTTAAGTAAAATGATTGGCTATCTATGGTGAGTAACTTCATTGAATAATAAGTATGCTTTATTTAAAAAAATAAAAATTCTCCACAGTAAGACGTATATTTATGTCAACATGGGTGTTATTTTATTTGTACACAAGCTTACTTGAACCTACAATGATACATGGAGGTCAAGCTGATACACAGGAAGGAGTACATATTGTCACTGGATGTGCTGGTTTCATAAGTTTTATGTTATCAAATAAATTTGATTTAGAAAAGTTTCTTCTGCCTGGAATTGTTATTTTTTGATTACTTTTTTTGCCCTTATTTTATTTCAACATTTAAATTATCGGAATATACAAATTACTTCACATGTTGGTCAATATCTAATTTTAAATACCAGATGTTATAACTTATTCATTCCTACTGTAGCCTTTTAAGTACCTCTCCTATAAACTAGTCCCCACTATATGTTGTTGGTAGCAACATTTGTGATTAAATTCACATTTTTATTTGAAATCTTAAAGGGCCGATAAAATCTTCACAGGGGATTTCCATATTGCACATTTCTGGAATAAAAGGCATTGCTTCACACATTTTTGTTACAGCTTTACGTGACACCAAGCCTGTACCTCCCAGCCAATAGGAAAACTAGTCTGGACGTGACGTATTCACTCGTCATGGTAGGCCGGCGTTTCTGGTTACCGCAGCGGCGTCAGATGTTCAGAGCGAAATTAATTTGTCCAAATCAGAGGAAACAGACGCGAAGCTAAACAGTTCTAAGAGATTTATTTATTTTTTTGATCATTCGTGGCTTTTCATTATCAGACCAGTCTAAAGGTAAATATGGAGTTTATTGATTCTTTATCCCCGTTTGCGATGAAATGCTGTGTGTGCATTATATCTAATCTTTTACTTCAAGGGTCGGAGGGTTATATAAAAGCAACCAGTGTTTGACTTACCTGATTATTATTTAGCTTATTTAAAACCATCTCTTGGTTTCTATCCATAACGTTTTTGTAAATTAGAAAGGCTGGCATATATATGCAGGTGTTTTTTTTTTTTCTTTTTTTTTTTCTAGGTACCTGAGGAACATGGACCAGAGGGAAGAAAAACCAAACCAACAGCACAGCAGGTGGGGAAAAAATAATAGTTATTTTATTCTGTCATATATAGCAGAAGCCCACTTTGGTTTATATCATCATTAGTTAGGAAACTGCTGGGAGTAACATGATGATGATCAATCCACACAAAGGACAGTAGTTTCCCCTCATTGAATGTTACTGGGGGAAAAAAACAGTCGCTGATCAGTAAATAAACCTTTCCAGATTTGCCTCAGTGGTTTTTATCCCAGCATTTTTTATGCATTTAAATTATTACTATTGTCCAGATCTCCAACTGGTACATGGTACTGGTACAAGCAGCAATTTCCAACATATAAGAGCTACAGTTTTCACTTACCTGTCAGTCAAATCCAATAAATTATATCTGGCAATTAAAGTTCCTGCCTAATATTTTTCACAGTGGAAAGATAAACTGAGCCTTTGATTGCATTGGTCCCATGTTAACCATTTTAGTGTCGAGTTGAAAAAAAAAAAACAGATTTGCAGATTTATTTCAATAAGCAGCATAGCCTATATATAGAATGCAGAAACACTCATTATTCATCTTAGACCAATATTTATTATTGTGTCAGATGTGTTGACACAAAAACTACCTAGAGAGCAAGTAAGCAGTTTATTACTGTGTTTTAAATGCATGATTTTTGGGTTAGTTGCCTCCATCTGTTCCCATTTTAAATCTCACTTATTTTTCTAGTGAAAACACAAATTAAAATACATAAATGGTCAATTCTCTGTTGACCATTTTTGAAATGGCACTGCTTGGTACTGATTTTCAGACAGATTCAAATTAATTTTTTTCTTCCAAACTCTTAAATACCACTGTAAGGGGATTTATATATCTTTAATTTTGAGTTTGTGTAACCAATAGACGCGCAGTGATATTGGTATAGTCTGATTGTTGGAATGAAACTGAATTTAACACTCACATTTCTACCCTCTGTCCCTCTTTTAGTCCTGTTTATGTTCACAACCCACACCTAAATGCTCTGAAAGATGACATCCTCTATCACTTCAGTCTCGGGACTGGAAGCCATAACCTACCAGCCATGTTTGGTGACGTCAAAGTAAAGAATCATGTTACTTTTTTATGGAGAAAATTATGTTTTTTCACATTAATTAATTTTGTGACTAAAGTAGTTTAAAACCTCAAATGAGGCTTCCTTTGCGGTAATGTTAGGTTTACACAGGCTATGCGTTGACATTTTTCCTTGATTGTTATATGACTAAAACTGCAGATTTTTTTCCCTATTTTTTAAAATTAATTTATATATTCATGTATGAAAATGCGTCTTTTAGTTTGTGTGTGTTGGAGGAAGTCCCTGGCGGATGAAGTCCTTCATTGAGTTCATTGCTGCTGAGCTTGCAATTGAGGAAGCTAAATCCGAGTATCCCAACATCTGCGCTGGAACTGATCGTTACGCCATGTACAAAGTCGGGCCTGTGCTCTCTGTCAGCGTGAGTTTAGCTGGTCTACTGTAAGGCTTCAAGCGCTTGTCTCATTGATTTGTTTTAATGTTTTACTAACTTTACTGTGATATGTTTGTGCTTGACTTTCACAGCATGGGATGGGCATTCCATCCATTGCAATAATGCTGCATGAACTCATAAAGCTACTTCATCATGCACATTGCACAGATGTTACAATCATACGCATAGGAACGTCAGGAGGAATAGGTACAGCTATTTATTTATATATTATAGAATTTATGTGAATGTGTGTGTAATAAGATTCAGCTTTGAGTAAAATCAGGAGGTGGGAATTTATTTTATATGATAAGCGATGCAACTGGGTAGAAAGTGCAGCTGGTGGGAGTGGCTTTTTTGAAATAACATGTCAGTTAGTGATAAGAAAAGCAGGAAAGCAGCAAAAAAAAAAAAAACTAGAGAAAGTGAAAGAATATTTACATTTTGAAACCTTAATTCTGCCTCTTACATCTTTAGTATGATCTGATTGTATTCAGAGCTGGCAGTGGTATATAACTTGCATGATAATTAAAAATACTAAAGTGAAAATGATCTAATTTGACAGCAGAAAATTTGCTTTATGGGTTTAATAAGTATTTAATAGGGGAGATTTTTGTCCTGTCTTGACAAAGATCAGCATTTTGTAAAGGGGAAGTTAGGATAAGCTGGACTTTAGTGCAGTTTCAGGTTTTTATGTCTGCTTAAGAATTTACATTTTGTATTTTAGCAGATAGAGGAGCATGGACTGTTGAACACAGCTGTTTTTAGTTTTTTCAAATGAATGTAGTAGGTATTACTTGTTCAGTTTTATTTTTTTTTTAAACAAACTCCATAGTGTAAAGCTAGACATTCTAAAGAAGCAATCTTTGTTGAATGTTTACTGGAATAAACCTAAATTTGAAAACCCTAAAAAATATATTACATAATTTAAACCATTTGGATGTAAAACTTCAGCATTGTATTATTAGACAAAATGTTCTTTAATTCCAGATTAATTTGATTTGATTTTTTTTTTTAAACTTATTGCTCTTCAGGACTTGAGCCTGGTACGGTTGTCGTTACCAAGCAGTCTGTGGATGCCACCTTCCTGCCTAAGTTTGAGCAGGTGATCCTAGGAAAGACAGTGGTACGCAGTACGGATCTGGACCAAAGTCTGGCCCAGGAGCTGCTGCAGTGCAGCAAAGAGCTCAACCAGTTTGAGACGGTCATCGGTAACACCATGTGCACACTGGATTTTTATGAAGGTATGCACTCTACTGTGTTTAATATACTGTTTTTCCTGCTGTAAACTTACAGTATGTAAGAGTCTTTTATATCTATTACCTATAATCCAAAGGTCAAGCCCGCCTGGATGGTGCTTTCTGCTCCTACACTGAGGCTGATAAACAGGAGTACCTCAATAAAGCTAAAGAAGCAGGAGTCTGCAACATTGAGATGGAATCATCTGTTTTTGCTGCTATGTGCAAACTGAGTGGTCTGCAAGGTATTAAAACATTATCCTGTCATCAGACCATAAAGGTATAGTGGAGGATTTAAAAGACCCACCCTCTCCAATAAAAAAAAAAAAAAAAAATGCACCTGCACAACCCTGTACCTGCTCCGGAGAGGGAACGTCTATGAAACACATGCCATTTCTCCTCATGCACGCTCTGTTTAAAAGTTGCTGTTTGCATCGTTCATGCAAGCTTACTTTCCAAAAGAAGATTTGCAATTTTTACACTTTGTCAGGCTCACCACCAGTAAGTGAAAATGTGGATGAGCACATACGATGGCATTACGTAAACATATCAACAGAATGATTGAAAATTAGGAGCACCACTTATTTTGATGATCCACCCAAAAAAAGTAAGATCCTCCACTACACCTTTAACTGAGAAATGTTAGATCAGCTCATAACATTTTTATCATCAGTTCTCTTGGTTTTCTAACGTTCTCATGTTGTGTTTTGAAGCGGCCGTTGTCTGTGTTACTCTGTTGGATCGACTGAAGGGGGATCAGCTGAGCAGCTCTCATGAACTTCTTCAAAACTACCAGCTTCGTCCTCAGATGCTGGTCGGCTCCTACATTAAGAAGCAGATGAAAGCCAAAGCAGAGCACAGCTGAATGCAGGCGTTACACTGTGAGAGTATTTGTACAGATTATCCTACAAATTATACATGTTTGAGCACTGAAAAGACTGTGAAGTCGCTTTAAGCAGCTGATCTTTACTCCAAACACCTGATGGGTGTTTGATGGATGTCTTCACATTTTAAATTTTGACTTAATTTAATTCACTGATAACGGTTTAGTTGATTTAAGGATAAGCATGCGCTGTTTCACTTTTTATCCTTTTGCTTGGTTTAAAATATAATTTAACTGAGCACTAAAGCCATTGATATGCAGATTTCTTTTAGAAATATTTGATTCAAGGCACTTTTAATATATTTAAGTTCCCGATCCTTAAAACTTGAACTTCACCTGTGCTTTAACAGAAATTTTGCTGACAGTTTTGTGTCAAAGGGATTGTACAAATATCAGGTGTTTTTTCTATATTATTTTACTGTTGATTTTATCGGAACCCAATTATTGTGAATCGAATTCAGACTTTATTGTGCATAATGTCTGCTTATGTCCTGTTAAAAAACATGTGCACTGATGTTAGTTTTTATCAACCTAAAATAGTAAATATCGGTGCTAGAAACTTTATACAATATATATATTTCTATATATTTACCAAAGCAATTGTCTATACAGCATAGCAGTATTTGTATTTTGCTTAATATTGTATAATTTAACATGATACACCAAATGCAGTGTGGAACAAGTCGTTTGTAATTGTCTGAGAAATTGTTTGTGGCCAAAACAAATAAAGCCATTTGCAGATGATGGAAATTTTCTAAGTTCAGCATTTCTCCTCTATGTCATTGAAAAAGGTGTTTCTTTCAATAACATGTTCCTGTTTGCAAAATTTGCTGCCTGTATTTAAACTATGTAGCTTTGTGTTTTTATTTGTTTTTTCTTGCCCAGGACTTAATCTCAATGGGATCATCCTGCTTAAATAAAAAACATCTTATTCTCTCATGAAATGTCAAAATTTTGGATCGGTTTTACACCAATCACCTCCAGTGACAATACAAACCAAATGTTATGTCTAACAGTATAGTTTATCCATTGCTGTGGAACATTTCCTTTCAGTTTGAAAATGCTCAATCCTCAGTAAGTGTATTAGGCGTTTAGATTGTCTTGGAAAAGTCTTAAAATGACCAACCTACAACTTTGAAAGGTTTTAATATGTATTTTATCAATTAAAAGGCAACTATAGTAATGGTTTTACAAATCTGAAAACTGATGGGTCCATGCATGCTTTGTCTACTTTACCCTGATTACCCAAACTTTGGCTTAAAACTCTAAGAGCTTCTAAGTCAATCATGTGAAAATGAAGAATTTGTTATAACCTTCTAAAAACATAAATTTCTACCAAAAAATGCAATCCAAGCAATGAGGGCTGTTATTTAAAAAGCAGCCAGTGTAACCTAGAGCACCCATCGTCATTTTGGAAGAGGAACTGATTTCCTGCTGGGTGGGAGGAGCTGTGCACAGGACAGGTAAGAAGAAAGTCAGAAGCTTGCAGTTTGCTGCAATTCATGTAGGAACCACACGAGGAAGAAGATGCTCTAGTTAAAAAAAACAGAATTAAACCTTATGGTTAGCATCCAACACCAGGAATCTCCCATTGCACTTCACCTTCAACACAACATCTCCACCTAAAAGCAATGGGAGGGTGGTAGCCAGAGGCGTTGCCAGAACATTTTTTATAAGGGTGGCCATTCAATAACCAATGTACATTGAGGAGGGGTGGCTGAAAGTGGATAGGCGCCAGAACCTCAGGGTTAAGCTACACTGTTCCAACAGGATAATTAATGAGCACAACATCCATGTTTTCTAAATGAAGACAAACTATCCTTTCCTACAGCCTTTGCTAACAAATAGATGCATATATAGTTGATACAATTCTTTTAGTTTTAAGTTCTGGGGCAAACATCTTTTCCATTGCCATTACTTATTTTAATCAATAATCATTCTGCAAAAAAATTATATTTACAAGTAAAAATATCAACAAAAATTCATTATTTAATACGTTTTTATTAAAATAGTTATCTATGATTTCACTGAAAACTGTCAGGAACCGAGGACAGAGGGACCCAGTATTCAAGGAGAGACAGTCAGACACAGTCCAGTTCTAGAATGTCCTCAAGTGCTGCAGTTCCAGATGACATACTGGAAGCTGATCCTGGTCAGGGATCCAGAACAGACAGGGACAGGATCCAGATCAGGCAGGAACAGAAACAGGTGGCAGGATCCAGACATCCAGGCATCCACAGGCTCCCAGGAGGGTTCAGAGTCTGACTGGGACCAGAAGCATGACCAGGTGGTCACGCACAGGAGCAGACAGGCAGGCTCAGTGGAAGAGGGTAGCCGAGACAGGACGAAGAACAGGAACTTGATGCAGGACTTTAAACTGGTCTCCTCCCTGGAGCCAGGCTTACTGAATAAAAACTGAACCTCCCCACATATTGAGCCAAAAACCCAGAGGACTCCATGGGGGAGGAACAGTGGACGATCAGGAGACGAGACAAACACAAAAACCCTCTTTCCACTGGCAGCTAGGATCCAGGACATGAACCATGAAATCAAAAACTGAACGGACTAACAAAAAGACAAGTGATGATCTGGTACTGAATGCTCAGGCTGAACTGAATTTAAACCAGAGGAAACAGGTGAGAGGAATAAATAATAATTGAGGCAGGGAGGGAAAACGACAGGTGAAAGGAATGACTAATTAGGGAGGAGCAAACAGGCCAGATCATGACAAAGACTCCTTGATGACTTACAGAGACACATGATTTTCTCTTTACCCCATATAACACAAAGTCTAGTTCTGAAAAGAGCATGAATTATGTACTTATGTACTTTAATTTCAGTATATTTATGTGCATAATTAACCACATCATATTTGTTGTCAAGTAAATATTAATATATGAAAAATTAAAATGGTTTGAATAATCCACTTGAGAGTACTACTCTTGCCACTGTCTGCATTAGAGGGAAGAAGTGGTAGGGGTGGCCAATGATTGGCTTAGGGTGGCCATGGCCACCCCTGGCCCCCCAATTAGCTCTGCCCCTGGTGGCAGCTTCATGCTGTGGGTATGCTTTCCTCAGGACGAATGTTTTCATATTTTGTATTTGTTTGAACAGAATTACGTTTCATGTTATTTTCACTTTATGGTTATCTATATATATTTTTTTTTCACAAAAAAAAAAAAACTACATTAAAGGTTGCAGCAAAACAAAAAAAATATTTAAAAACTCTGGATACCATGTTCCAGACATTTAATTAATTTCAGAAGTGGATGTAGTTTTAAATTGAACTGAATGAATCCTGCAGTGATTCCAGCTCCTCTGAGGGCTGCAGCTTCTATTGGTGGATGCTGGTTGCGCGTCATGGCTCAGGAGGGAGGCTCTGCATGCGCGCTCCCGTTCGCGCTCCTCTTGCTGTCTGCTCCCCAGGTCCAAACCCGGTCTGTTCGCTGACTCAGTGCCTTAAGCAGCATCACGGCTCATCGGAACAGAGCTTCAGCATCCTCTGCGGAGAAATAGATCAGCCATGGCTAAAACTGTAACCGGTAAGAGTGATGAACCTGCTCTGAAAAGACGCAGAAGGTTAGATGGATGAGATAATGGATGGATGGGTGGGTGGATGGATGGATGAGGTGCATCTTTTCTATACCAGTAATGTGTAGTTCCCAGCTGGCGTTATATTTTGACCTAAAAAGAAAAGATTAAATACTGAAACAGAAGCTCTAATTTAATTTATTCTATCAAACAGGAGTCTATTGTCTCGGTTAAAGGTAAAAATAGGCTCACCTACAGGGCCAGGAGCCTATTATGTCCCTGAAACCTTTACCTATTTTATTATTATATTATAGTTGTTTTTATTTCATATTCTGTAACAAACATTTGAAACAATCCGAACCTGGATCGGCTTTATTCGGAGCCCAGAACCTGCGCTGCTTGATGGCACAGCGGCCCCCAACATGCAGCATAATGCAGACGGACCCCACCCAAGATGCTCTCAGCAAAAACAGACATCCTTACCCAGCACTGCCTCCTGCGTGTCTTTTATTAAGAGTATACATCCAATTGTTTTATTTTGAATTATATTTTGTATTAATGTTTTCGTATTATTATTATTCTGCCTTCTTTATTCTTTAGCTTGTCTTGTTTCCTCCAGCTCCATGTTGGATCTCCAGCTGTGTGTTGCAATTGGGCTTTTGAGTTGAAATATGTAAACTAATATAGGCCTAGCTATTTTAAAGTGTTCATGCATTTTCTCCCTTCACCCCTTACCATCCTGGAGGCCCAGCTATTTAGCCTGATTGCTTTAATTGATCTGCTCACCCCTCTAAATGCAATAACCCTGCATTTATCAACCCATTTTACTTTTGTTTTTTGTTTGGATGCCTCACTAGAGAGCCTCCTAAAGCAGATAGGTGTATCGTAGTGTGGGAGGCAGGCCAGCCCTGCAGTAACAGAGCTAATTCACAGTCTGGCCTTTGGCTCAGCAGCTCTGTTGTCCTCTCTGAGGAGCCAAGTGGGTACTTTCAGAAAAAAAAAGGTAAAGGAGGGCAAAGAAAGTCCGGATCATTAATCATTTGGTTGAGTCAGAACTGTCACAGACACCTGTTTTCTTTCTTTTCTTTCATACAAATGACAATTTTAGTTTTTGTTCCCTTAAACAGGAAGTGTAGGGTTTTGTCAAAATGGATAAATCAGCTATTCATTCATTATTAATGGAGGAAACAACACTTTCATACATTTAAGACTTGAAATGCATGACTGATTCTGTAATATTGAAATGGTGAAATGCCTTGCATAATACTAATTTAGCTCCTATTTTGTCACATATCTACAGCATTTCTTTGTGGTTGTTATTGGAATTTATTTTTGTGAAGAAACACAAAGTAGTGCATGCTTACAAAGTAGAATGCATTGAATTCATTTTTTAGCAAATGAAAACATGAGAAGTGAGGTGCACATTTGTGTTCAGTGCCCTTTAATTTAAGACATCTAGATAAGATAGATGTCAAACCTAAAAAATTGTAAACAGTGTTCATCTTTGTGTTTAACATCATTATAAACCCAGATGTTCTGTGAAGGCCTGAGAAGTTTTGTAGAGGACATCAGTAAATAAACAGCATCATAAAGACCAAAGACACAGGCGGCATGTTCCAGGATGAGTATTGAGGAGTTTAAAGCAGTTTTAGGTTATAAAATGGTAAACATAAACATTTCCAAGAGCATCATTCAATGCCTAGTGTGAAAAAATAGCCTGTGACACATGCAAATCTGCCAGGCATTGGTTGTCGATCTTACAGACCAGTAAGAGATTACTCAAAAAAGTTTAAATAAGAAACAAATGTAGGCTTTAAGCAAACAACAACAATAAAAGCTGTTAAAAGTCTCTCTCTCTTTAGAAATGGGCACAGTTAAAAACTAAAATAATATGTTTTTACTTTTTACTGTTCTATAGGCTTCTTCATTGTTTGGGTTTTTCACATACAATCCCAAGAAAATACACTAATATTACTTGGTGGTCAAAATACAGAAGGTATTTGGTAGAAAACATTTTAAAACATGTTGGTGGTAACATGATGCTGTGGGGGTGTTTTTCTTCAGAAAGGATAGGGAAGTTAGTGCAAATCAATTGGAAGATGAATTGAATAAAATGCATTTGTCCATTTCTTGAATAAAAACCGTTAGAGGCTGCTAAAAGTGTTACTGGGTCAGTGGTTCCACAATGAAATCAAACCAGAATACTTACTGGGACTCTACAGCGACTAATGTGGAAAAGGTCAAGGTATATGTCCAGTTGTTTACTAGTTGTAAGTTTAGACGTGTTTTTACTGAGTGAGCACCTTAATCAAATATCATCGACCTATTTTGCTGTTACCAGCATCTCTCCTTCTTGCATCCTAAGT